TCCTAAAAATCATAGACAACTAAAAATCAAGAAAACAAAACAAACTTGAAAACATCCATACCCTTTTGCTATCTTTAGTGAACCAAGCGAGCAGCCATAATCATAACTTTAAGAAATAACAGAAATTCATTTTGTGCTGTACTAAATAAAACTAGATTCTGAGAGCAGCACTCCCTGCGAGCCTCCCTCCCTATTCTAGATCTGAACTTGGGAACCCTCTCATTGGAAATATCTAAGATCCTCAATAAATACTCCTGAGGTCTTAATAATAGGGCTTTATGATTGCAAGCTGTGGCAATCACACCCCATTTCCTTCTCATGGGAGGTCAGCTGAAAAAGAAGTCACACTAGAAGCCACGTGGGCTGCTGAATTCCCAGCCAGTGATGACTGAAAGTCAAAGCAAGGTGATGAGAAAGACAGCAAAGAGTAGCCCACAGTAACACAGGCCTGCGAAGGATTCATTATACATCCCAACAAGCCTTCTGAGCCACAGACTAAGGCCAGACACACTTCCAGGACACAAGAAAGTATTGAGTGGGTGAGCTTGGGACCAACATTTACAAACTTGAACCAAAGCTGGGGAATGCCTTAGCTCTGCTCTCTCCTCCAACTTCTCCATGCTCCGTTTTTAAACAACTAGCTCCCCATTTAAAGATTAGTTACAACAAAGGAGGACTAGCACAGAACATAAGCTGAAGGTAATTCATAGGGTGGGATGTGGTTCAAGTGATAGAGTACCTGCCTAGCAAGTGCAAGGCCATGAGTTCAACTCCTCCCCAGTACCACTTTTATTTAAGTACATAATTACATATATATATATAAAGAGAATTCATTTGATGAATAGAAAAAAAAAACATTAAATGTGCACTGCACTAGATGATCCCACAAAAACCTATGCTGTCCTGGAACTACATTATAAAAGCAGACATGGGTAAAACATAGTCAACACGAAAATCCAACTTAGCTGCACACTATAAGAGAATATTATATGAAAATTTAGAAAAATAGAACACATAACGTGGTCAGGATTACTGGAGTAGAGGGCAAGTAGATTAAAAGAACACTCAGGGAGGCCATACTGAGAAGGAAGGTCTGAGCAGAGACTAGGTGGAGGTACAGCAACTGAGGAACTGGATATGTGTTAGAAGAGTGTTTTGCAGGCTGAGCTGCGAAAGGCTCGGAGGGGTGTGTTCCTGATAAATAAAGCACCAGTACAGCGAGAAGGGCAAGGAACAGGGGTGTATAAGTTGAGATCAGAAAGTTGTTGGAATGAAAATAGAAACAGGGGAGCCCCCAGATCACAGAGACCATTGTAAAGGCCTTGACATTTATTCTAGGGGAAAGAGAAATCATTGTAGGGTTGTGAGCAAGGGAGGGACAAGATCTGACAATGAGCTAAAGGAAAACCTTGGTTTTTATGTTGAAAATAGACTGTTAGAGGCAAAAGTAAAGGCAGGGAGACCTATGCAAAGCAACTTCAGTAATTCAGGCACAAAACAATGGGTAATGGTCACTCAGGGAAGGGGAGTGGAGGTTCAGAGAGTGAAAAGTGGCTAAGAGAGTCGAGTTTGCAACAGACATTGAAACTGAGTTGTAAGGAGAGAAGAGAGGGTGATTCCAGGGTTTCCAGTCACAGCATATGCAAGTATGGAGATGCCATCAACCAGATGGAAAAAACTGATGCTGTTTAGTAAGGGATAAAAGGAGAACTCAGGAGTTCAAGTGTCAGAAGTGCTGAGTTTGAAGCATCTACTTTCTAAATAAAGCCTATCCAAGGAGTGAGGTTAAGTAGACCACAAAATGTATGTGTCTAGAGGTCAAGGGAGAGGTCTGGGCTGAAAATATAATTAGTTGATAACAGCTTTTATCTGGTGATTAAAGGACTGATGAGCTCACCAAAGAATGAGTGAGAATAAAACAGGGAGGGGAGGACCAAGGCCTCAGTCTGGTATACAAGTGAAGTATATAAGTGCAGTAACAGAGAAAAAGTTACAAAGTTTTAGCTAGACATGAAAAAATCAAATGGAGCGAGTGGGCAGGTTTGGAATCAGAACAATGAATTTAACAGGGTGGATGCCATTGACAACCTTGAAATAAGTATAAGAAATAAGAAGAGGAACTGAGTGAAAATGTGAGTGGTAAGATTTAAGAAAGAACTGGAGAAATATTGAAGAAAGAGTGCAGGTAAGTCTTGCAAGTTGTTTGCTAGAAAGAGAAAAAGAACACAAATGAGTTGTAGAAGAAGCGGAATCAAGAGAAAAGAGTTTTACTAATAAAACCTGAGCAACAACAGCAGAAATAAAATTGATCACAAAGAAGGAAAAGAGAAAATTACCTGTGGTGTATTTTTGAATAGTTGAGAAGGTTTGGGGTGTATGATACAAGAAGGGGAATTTAGACAGGAGCATGGATGGTTCAATTAGGCAAGCCATGGAAAAAGGAGTAATGAAGAGTGCTTATGACAGGTGGTATTGTAACGCCAGGAAGGCTTTTCTGATTACTTCGATCTGTTCAGTGAAGTAGAACACAAGGTTATCATCTAAGAGCAAGAAGGGAGGTACTGGGGATTCGAGGAAAAATGACAAGTTTGAGATAGTCATCTGAAGAGTGGGAGAATAAGCAGAATAGGAATTCAGAACATGATTACCGGTTGTATTAGACATCTACTTGAAAATTGTCATTATAAATTAAAGTGAAACCAGCATAGTTGCATGGTTTTTCCAGCCATGTTCAGATGCACAATTGCAAGTACAGAACAGAATAATTTGAACTGAACTGGAATTGAGGGTTTTGCCAAGGTAATATGATGAGTCAAAGCAAGGGACAAAAGCATCCAGAGTCCATGTGAAAGATTGGTTGTAAAGATTCACCATGGAATTTTAATGAAATAAGAAAGAACGTGGGCATCAGGGCGAGGAGAGTCAGTTAAATAGTGGCCAAGTTGAATAAAATAATCCATTGCAAGCGTCAGAAGAACTGTTGGGAGGAAGAAGAGTAGAGGGTATGGACTGGAAAAATAAGAAATGCTAATCTGAGAGTGAAATAGCATAGCTGAGATTAAATTTTTAAAAAGAACGCAGGAAAAGGTAAGTGAAAATTATGGGTTAAAAATTATTCAAGGAAATAAGAGATGTTAAATGTAGATTCAAAGAAGTTTATATGCTTATAAGCATGAATTTTCTAAAAATAAAGTATATCTAAATATATTTTAACTATAAAGGGTCCTTTTAGGAAATAGTATCTCTTTGTTGAAGAATCAAAAAGTACATAATTTCCATAATCTTCCATCAAATTTGTTTATATTATATTCAATAAAATGAGCCTGAATTAACCTGAGAGAGACAGAAATTTAATCTGATGCTTTATTAACAGTCATGTTGAAAATGGTTTTTTTAAGCATTAGTATGTTTTTTTTAACTATCTTCTTTTTAGGTTTTTATTGGTAAGCATATCTGCAGTCTATAAAAAGTGATACATTTTCTTTCTTAGATTACTACAAGCATCTTGTTCTATATAAACCAAAAGCAGCAGAACAATAGGCTTGCCAGAGGCCTCCGATGTAGAGTGTTGCTGAGTAACCAAGACCATGTGGACTAAATCTGTTAAAATGGAAAGGGGATACACCCGGGGTTTAAAGAATGATGAAAAACTGACATTTTTATCGTGCTTAATAATTTAGAAATGTATAATTTACATTATTGCTAAGGAAAACATTAACAATATTTTCCTTTTCACAAAATTTTAAGTACTATACTGTATCATTTTCCTATGAAAATTTCCTTTGCTTTCCCTCTCTCTCTCTCTGCATGTGTGTTTGTGTGTATGTGTGTGTGTCTGTCTCTCTGCCTGTCTCTCTCTTACTTAGCTGCTGTACATCTAGAAGATATGCAAGAATATTCTAAAATTTCAGGAGAGGTTATCTCTGGATGGTGAAATTATACAGAAGTGGTCACTTTCCCTATGTATAGTTTTTTCCTATCTGGAGTTCATCAATATCCTGTATTAACATTAAATGCCACATTTCTCAATTCTATGTTGCATACAATTTCATTTTCCCTGAATCAAGACAAGTCATAGAATCAGTGGTAACTTAGATTCCAAGAAAAGATGATTTCATAACTGAAATATTAGCATATTAAATAAAGATGATGATTCAAGACACATTTGACAGAATAACTTCTCTATACCTTAGATTTCAGCCAGAGAGTTTTCCAGGATCTGCAGGGAGGAGGTTAACAATTTGGATGGAGGTTAACAATTTGTGCAGGCTCAATAAATTTTTTCAGAAAAGACATATTGAATAGTAATGAAGTTATTTACCGTTACAGGTGAAAAACTGGAGTGAGACAAGTTGAGAAAGAGCTCACAAACCAGGCACACTCAGAGTGCAGTTAAGAAGGAGCTAGGAAGAGTGGTGAGAAAAGGGCTGATTTGTGAAATTATGTGCTATGGAAACACAACCGCCAAAAAAATCTGCACATGCCTCATATAGATGAGTACATTTTACTTCCAAATTTGATCAATATAATTTATTTTATTTTCACACAAATATAACACAGCCTAACCTTGAATTAGAGGTAACCTTTCCGTCTCTTCTTGTTCAATCTCTACAATTTCTAATTCCAGCAAGATCTTGTCTACAAATCATAGTACACTTTGGACTTTTACCTCTCCTTTGATTATGTCACCTGTCAATGCCATTTTGATAACATATTTCTTTTGTCTTTAGAACATATTCTTAAGGACATATTCACAAGTAAGTGAGAGGCAAGAAATGACCATTTCTCCCAGCACACTGAGTTAGCCTTCACCACCCCTTTAAATTATGCAAAATAGAGTCAAGGTTTCGATAAATTTTAAATTTGTGTCAGAATCTCTCCTACAAAGGAGTCTTCTGGTACCTAAACAAACTGAATATTCTTATTTTCAGTTTCATTTTCCAAAAATGAAAAAACAAAAATGTCTTCCCATTAATGAAGATTTGAAGAAACTGCTTTACCCCGTGAGTTTGACGGCATGGGTCCGTAGTTTTCGATACTTTTCTGATTCTTCATTGGTGCTTGCAACATGCCTGTATATTCCTGCCTTGTAATGGAAGAAATCCTCATGGACCTGCATTACGGCTAAAACAAAACCCAACAGGACAAATGGCAGTTTTTAAAAAATCATCTTTAAAAGTCTCTAGCTCCATCCATTTACCTGCGAATGAGAACATCATCTTAAGCGAATTTAGCCAGGCTCAGAAGGACAAAAATCACAAGTTCTCCCTCATATGCAGAGTATAGACCTAAAACAAATGCAGTAATATTATCGGACATGGGTCACACGCTAAGGGGAGAAGGTGCATGGGAGGAATAGGGAAAGGGAAGGAAACCTAAAACTTGAATGTGGTTGATGTGCTCACCATAGAGGAGTGAATATAGTAATCTTAAACTGGCAAAGGCCACAATCTGGTAGAGATGAACCAATTTGGGTTTTAATACATATATGCATGGAAGCAACATAAAGAACCTCCTTATATAGCTATCTTTATCTCAAACCAGCAAAAGTAAATGCAAAAACGAGAAAATAAAATTTTTAAAAAGTCTCTGGAAATTCTTCCAGAGATGAAAGAGAGCAGAAGAGGGGGTGAATTCAAATATGATATATCTGATACATTGCAAGAATTTTTGTAAATGCTACAATGTACCAGTCCACCCAGCACAACAATAATTTAAAAAAGTAAAAAGAAAGGAGAGAAAGAAATTCTCCCAGAATAGAGAATAAAATTATAAGGAGTTAAATCTAAGCAGAGGTTGTGCAAGTCAGCCTAATTTTCCATCCTATTTAATTTCATCCATTACAGCATTTTCTAATTCTCTTATAAACACAAGTTTTTAGCTGTCTAGAACATTGCTTAGGAACACATTATAACTTTAGAATGTCATTCTAGTCTTAATCAACCATGACACTATTGCTAACAAGTGAGCCAAGCCCCTTACGGCAAGGACTGTGTTACTTGCGCAGTTTCTCCACTAACTTTGAACTTTACCACAGCCCTCTTAAAATCCCAAGTCAGTTAGCAGAGAAAGGTGACCCTTGCAAACCAAGCATAAGACAATTATCCTTAATCTTTATGAATAAATACAAACCATTTTTTGCTGAGTTTGAATAAAAGGAAAACCCTTGGCAAAAGAATACACTTTGACGGGATTTCATCTTCCCAGCTCTGGAGAGCTAAGTCAGTGCTGTAGTCTTTGAAAGGAGAGTTTATACTTCATAAAGCTTTCCTTCCTTCCCTCACCTAGATTACTCCTTTTCTGCATTGTGTGGTGCTTTGAGGAAGCCTTGGGCAATTTGAGGCAATGACTTCACCCTTGTCTCCCAGAAAACATGAACTGAAGATTTTAAAAATTGGAATTAGGTATTTATACCTTAAGAACTACAGTAATGCTTACCTATTTTTGTTTGACATGAATTTTAAATAAAAAAGGAACTAAGGTCACTAGCATTTGTTAGATTCTGAAATGAAGCTTATACTCCAAAGTTAAATATAGATTTTTAATATTAACACTTTTCATTCCATGTTTTTAATGTTCACATAGTCTCAAAAGAGGCTAAATCTTCTTTACCTACTCTAAAACACATTCCCATAGGACTTTAAGAATTTATATAACTGTTCTTCATGCAGGTTTCTGCTTTTGTCCTCTTTTCATCACCTGTGCTTATTTTTAATTCTACAGATTTCAGAAGAATGCACAGTGTTATCTATTCAGCATTCTATTCCTTTGACACTCTTTTATACTGAGACGGGGGAACCGCTGTGTATTAGACCAGGCAACAATAAACAGATAATCAAATTTCATCTACAGCAAGAGCCAAACAGCATTCTATCCATTCACAAAAATGCGAAGATGTTTCTAGTGATTTTTTTGTCTACAGAACCATTGACTCCTTCATTCTTAAGATTCAGCTCTGCTCTAAAGCACCATGAATAAAACATATTCTTCATTGCAGAAAAACACTGCCAACTAAATAAAAGGACGAGAAGCAATCACAACTAATTCAAAGCTGGCTTCTTCCTTCAGTCTCTGGGGCCAAACCAGACTTGAAAACCCTATAAACATATAGCTATATAGACAACCACTGTGCAGTTATGCTCTTCTAGAAAGCTGCAGTATGCTTGTTATATAGAATTGCAGCATACATGAGAACAAGAGGTAGCTGCCTTCAGTTTTGCTGTCTTGGCCCTGGCTCTAACTGGCAGGAAGCAGCATCTCAACAAGTCCTTGATAAATGTGCTTTGAATAATTTGCCTTTTTTATTGCTTTGAAGTTTTTTCTCTTTATTTTTGATGCATTATGTGAAATTCATGAAAATTCAATGCATGGGCAGAAAGTAAGCATAAGGTGTTCTTAACTTTTAAATAATTAAGATCCAAATTGATTTTGATTGAAGACAGAGAAGGAAAAAGGCAGGAGGGAGGGGAGAGAAGAAAGAGAGAGAGAGAGAGAGCCCTTGAAATGGTAATACAGGGATGTGGAGATTCAGAAATGTTAAATAAATTACCAGAGGTCACTTAAGTAGCAGGTGCCACTGCTGAAATTTTGAGCTTAGCCTTGAGTTCAATTGTCTTGACTCCTTCAAAGTTCTCATAAAAACACCACTCAATGAATCACATGTAAAATTAGACATAAGGCCCTGCAGTCTTGTAACAGCCAACAAATTATGTAGCAGTAAGGACAAAAATGCTTCCTTTCACTTGTTTCAGATTTTGTGTAATGTTACAGGATTTAAAAAAATAAATTCAAGACATACATGCTTTGATTTCTCAGTAAATAAAATGATTTCAACATAATTATAAAATCCACGATTCTTGCAATGTACTAAACCAATATAAATTAGATCAACATTCAGAAGGACAAAAAAGAAAAACTTGCCAATAATTCCTCAAGTACATCTATCAAATGTTTTAAATTTAATTTTGACTTATCTCATATTCCTCTGCATTGCTAAGATATTTGGCATCCTTCAGTGTCTACAAACTGAATTCATATTTTATGCTTCATTGGATTTGTGTTCCCAAGCACTTCAAGACAGTGTTTATACAGGAAATATATTCTGTGAATTTATCCTTACTCATGTCATTAGTACAAAATAAAATTCAATAAATAAAGAGAAATATTATCACAGATAATATCTTAAAAAATCAAACTTCTCTATATAGCAAGTCATGTTTAGTTTTGTTATTTACTATTAGTTTACTACCAATAGCACATTTGGTCAAACTTGAAACCTTTTGTACAACACAGAACTCACACTGGCTTATTTGATTTTTCCTGAACGAACAGAAAAAGGAATCTATCATCTTTTCCTATTATTAATCCTCAATTTTGTCCAATCTATTACTTAATCCTCTAAAACCGAAAGTATCTAACCTTGTATATGATTCCTACGCATGATCAAATGCATGAAGATTAAATTAATCTCTTGGCATTCCATGTGTGATAGCCTGTTGGTCCAGATGACTTTGAAAAGACTTAAGCTTTCCTCAAATGTGCCATTAATATTTAAAAGTTCAAGTTATAAGTGACTATCTTAAGGTAAAATGGCAGCTAGTCATGTGACAAACTGAGCAAATCCTCTGCAATGGCACTGATTTTAGAACAGTTGAACCCTTCTGAAAATTCTTACAATAAGTGTTGTTTTTTTTTTATTAAACACTTTTTACATGAGGTCAATGTTATGTTGTTTATTAAAGGAGTGAGTAAAACAAAAGCATATTTCATCAAGCTTACCTTGAACTGGTCCATTTTGCATGATTTCTCTCATTATCTCAGTTTCCTGGGATGAAAAGTGGCAATGTGTATCATCATTAATATCAGATGTACTAAGCCTAATGTTTGGTGTCCGATATTAACTGTCATACAATCAACTTAAGTATTATATAATCCACTGTGATGTGGCCATTTGCAATTCACTCTTAACTATGCATTGAAATACTGATATGTGAAATAGCACACTGAGAATTGCTAAAGGTAACATGTGTCCATTTGTTTCATTGGTTTTTGTCACTAATAATTTTGGAATGGAAAGAGACTGTAATAACTTTCTATGGTGACAAAAATAATCAATGTAAGTTAAAACATTTAATCAGTGGAGATTAGTGGCACCTCCAATCTTCTGGTTACAAGTACTATCCCAAATGACTGCTTGGTGAAGTTCCTCAGTAGCTTGAATATACGTATTTCTATGTTGACACTCAGTGTTGCCATCCGTAGAGAGGCAGGAAGTCATTCATTTATTTCTTCCTTCCTTCTGTATACACTGAGCATGAGGTATTAGAAACCATGATAGAAACAAATATTAACACTGCTTCTATCCTCAAGGTATTTATATCTTCAGAATGTAGTCACAAAATGAAACAACTAATTTCATTATTCTATAATAACTTCTGTTATAAGGCTAAGCATAAAGTGGTATTGATGCAAACAAAAATGAGGAATAAATCCCACTTAGGAGCCAAGGAAAACTTCACAGAGAAGATAAAGTTTTGCCCTAGGCCTTGACTATTGTGTGACATTGCACAGATGGAATGGTAGGGTAAACATTTGGGTCTCAGGAATTATCTCTACTTAAGAGAAGCATGAAAGAGTGTGGTGGAGCTCGAGAACAGAGACCAGTTTTATGTATCGGAAGCATTTGTGGGAAGGCAGAGGAGTGAGTCAAAGGCAGGCAGGACATGAATCTGTAAAAGTAACAGAACAAACAGCTTTTGAAAGGCCTATGTGCTGTGGTAAAAATGCTGGACTGCATTCTGCAGATAACCAGGAGTCACAAAAGATTTGTATATTTTGAAATTGAGACTGGCTAACACTGACATGACAAGAGTAAAATTTGCCCAGACTTTTACTATGATTAACTGGACCCTAAGGAACTCTTTTCCTTTATAGCTGTGTCCACTTCAATTATTTTGTGGAGTCAAGCAAAAATCTTGATAAAAGGAGCTACTACACAAAAATGTCAGCATCATAGCTTTCCAATGTCTAGTTCAAGCCAGGTGCTGGTGGCTCACACCTGTAATCCTAGCTACTTGGGAGGTTGAGATCAGGAGAGTCATGGTCTGAGGCCAGCCTGGGCAAATAGTTCGTGAGACCCCATCACCAAAATAACCAGAGCAAAAATGGACTGGAGATGTGGCTCAAGTGGTAGAACGGCTGCTTTGCAAGTGTGAAGTCCTGAGTTCACACCAAAAAAAAAAAGAAAAAGAAAAGAAAAAAATCCACACATACACATTATAAAACATAATTTAGAAACTATTTTGGGCACTTTAATTTAAACAAATCCTTTATACTGCTAATAAAAGATTAGAGATCTTATCCAAGTTGGAAATTCTTTAAAGGACACTTCAAGAAAATTTTAAAAATTATATCTGAAAACACAATATTTAATTTGGACTGTAACAGCTTTACATGGTTTTTAAGTAGCATTAATAACAGCAGCTATATGTGTTTGAGAATGTCAGTCATTGCCATTCTTACTATTTAGACTTACATTGGAAGAGACTCTGTATGGAGGAGAACATTGGTAGATCCTGTTGGATTTCTCTATGTTATTGGGACAGGGCTTTGTGGCATGCCGTTTTCCCCGCCCATCTGACCAACTTGCCATGGCACAGATATTATTGGTGGCATTTTGGTCCTTGAAAAGTGGATAGCAAGCATGAGATACCAGTCTAAGAGGAATAAGCAAAAAAAAAGGTAATATTTAGGAAAGTGCTATAATATCCTGTCTATATTCAATTTTACTGACTAAACACTTACAAATTATGCTGGTTACCTGCATGCATAACCTTAAAATATCACCTGATTATAACATGGCAGCTCGATGCATTATATTCCTCCTCCTATGATTTCTTCATTATGAGTTTTTAAGTCTTACTTCAATTCCCTTTAATAAGTGATGCTATCTTTAGTATTGAATGTCCTGAGGATGAATATGGTCATCAATAAAGTCTGTGGTAATATTAATAAGGGAAGGACTCCTTCAACTTGCATATGTAATAATGATGGGAAAGAGCCAAATTAAATAGGAAAATGTCAATTATTCACAGAAGAGAGAGCCTGATAAATTTACAAGTTTTAGAATTAAGGTTGGCTTTTTTGTTTTATTGACATTTTCATTAAGCAGTTTTGAAGATTCTATGTCCATGGTTCAGGATACTTTGGGAAAAATAGAATGCTACATGTATAATATGAAAGTTACTAAGGTAGAAAGTTATCAGATGTATACATTATAAAGAAGATTTTAAAATATTTTGATTTCTGATTTTGAAACTGAACAAAGCAAAGTACAAATTATTTGGCTACAAACCTAACAACCTATTGAATATCAAGGTAAATAATAAGGGACATAAAGCCACATAATTAGGTTATATGGATATTTAATGCTGAAATGGCCATAGAAGTATCCATTAAAATTAGTTCAAGAAAATGTAACCATATCCAATAGACTATCAGCATCAGGGCAAGACCTGATGAAAGCAAAGGCATTAAAAATATCTAAACATTTTTTAATCTTACAATAAATATGCTACATTTGTATTAAATGTTGAGTGCTATAAACTGAGTTGTGCCAATCTGAAATTCATACACTGAAACTCTAATGCCTGTACAATAGATTTGAGTTTGGGTCTTTGGGGGATGACTAGGTTCAAAGGAGGTCATGAGAATAGGGCTCCTATTGATAGGATTAGTGCCTTACAAGAAGAAGAGGTTCACTAGAGCTCTGTACCATCTGAGGACAGTGTGAGGAGGAGGCCACCTGCAACCCAGGAAAAGAACCCTTACCAGGATCTGACTCACCAGCACCTTTAGCTTGGATTTTACAGTCTACAGAACATGGTGTCTATTGTTTAATCCATACCATCTCTGTAGTTTGTTATGGAAGCTCAAGAAAACTAACATAAAGAGATTCAGTTGGGTCTCAATAATAATTTATATTCTTAAGTCCTAAGGAGCTTTTGTTTTTTAGTAATATAAAATAGAAGACAACCAAACAATACTCTAACAGGAAGATTTTAGATCAAATTGCCTATTCAAAGTAATACTTTATTAGGCAAAAACTACGAAAAAGTGAAATTACCACCATCAATGTCTGACATTCTTTTGCTTTCATAGCACCTAACTGCTCTATAGCAGACCCAGAGTAAGGAGTAGAAGGTGAAAGAACAAATAAGACATGTTGTACAGCTGTGGTTGTCAGCTGCAGTTTCCTGAGACAAATAACCCGCTTGTAGATTAGCTCTTAGGAGGTGCTGTGTTGGTATCAGGGTATATGACAGTAAGGAAATATACAGCCTGACAATTTTCATCAAATGGGATGGGAGCAATTAATGATACTGATGAGTTGAGGCAAAGTAAATTATTTCTTGATTTTGTTCTTCTTGTTTTTAATCTGATTTTCCTGGTATTGTCTATTCATGAACCTAGGAAACCAAAAGGTACAAGGAAGGTATCAGCAACATTGATTACTTTATCCACTCTGGGGACCCATTTACTTGAGCTCTCATATTAATTTATCTGGAAAAATATGAATTATTCAATAATTATTTCCAATGCCCTGTAATGTCAGTAAGTACCAAGCATAGTGTAGATTTTAAGGTGACATTTATAATTTTTTCCACATTTTGACTTGAGGCAGAACTCATGAGAACCCTAAAAACACACATGGAGAAGCTTATTTACCCACGTTTTCTCAGGAACCACCAAGCCCTGTCAATGCTTCCACCGCTGCATCCATGACCTTTCTTGGCACAGCAAGAGATCAAATTCTGAGGGGACAGATTGGCTGTGTATCGGCCATTGGACTGAATTGCTATTCGATCTGCTGCCACACCTGTTTCAATTAGAATATTGGTTACTATTCAAATGACACATGGTCAAATGTCAATGATATATTTATGTGTTCTAGTCAATTCAACTGTGTTGTAATTTCAGCCATAACTTATAGTATAATTTATAATTTATATGGATATTACTCCACTAACTTATTGGATTTAAAGACTTTCTAGATTCTTATTCTTTTTATGTTCTATATACTTCTGAACTCTTTTTCATTAAAAAACTGGTCAAGTGGTATATTTTCTTTAGGGCAAGAACCATACATTGCTTATGTTTCCATCCCCTGCACACAGAGCAGTGTCTTTCCTATAGTTATGGGCAGATATACTTTTAAATGAATGCAAGTAAGCTGGAGAAATCAAGAAAACTGATCATAGAAATATTTATTGAAAATTTATCATGGTAATTTGATATATTAGAATAAACTGAACTTTTGATTTTTAGGTTAGTATTTAATTTAACCACCCAGGAGACCATACTTCAGCTAATTCAGACTATTATGATTCTATCTTAAGCAAATCTAAAGTTGCATGGCTACTTTCATGCTTATAATATGGTTAAAAATCACTATCTTAATCTTACTTCAATAGATAAGGAATTCACCTTTTATAGGTGTATATATGCAATAGTGAGTATATTAGTAGTTATTTTTATATGTATCATTAACTATTACAATTAGTATTAATATTATTAGTTACATATAATAGTTATGTTCAGCTAAAAATGTAATTATGTATATGCTATATATAGCTATATATGTAATTATGACTTGCAATGTTATGTACATTAACACAGTTATAACAATTGCTATTAACTGTCATAACTATACTAATGAATATTAATATATATATATGCTCACAAATTAACCTTTAACGATTGAACCTTCTATTCCTCTCTAATTCCCTAGCATTAATGTTACAGTAAAGTCATTCCTTCCCTCAACACATCTGCGTTCACATGGCTACAAGCATGGCAGCATTAAAATCACAATGACAAACAAGAAGTGAGACATACAGATCTGTTTTCACAGGATAGCAGATTGGGAAATGTTTCAACCAGAAGCAGAGGTCTATACATGCCATCACTTCACCATGGCTTCATGATAAACTTCTGTGAATGATGAGACCATGAAAAGAGTAGGTGGGTGCCATTCCAATAGGAGATGTTTTTGCTGTTGAGTATGTAGAACACTCAGTTTTAATGTCTAATATCAGGCTAAACCCAGGAGATTATTTTATTCTGTAAAGTCATACCTTTTCTTCTACCCATTCTTTTTTGTCAGTGGAAGTTACTGTTTTTTTCTCATCAAAATTTTCTGTTCACTGGACCTCCTCCTGGTGCTAACTTGGAATTTTTCTAAAATAATTCATTTTAAAACAACCCATGTGCATATGTATCTCCATATAGTTTTTTATGTAACTATAGGATATGTACACTTTTGGCATGTTTTAGATGCTTAATATATGTTAGATCTGCAACCTTCCTCTTCCTTGTCGATTTCTGTCTTTGTTTTACTAGGATACGCTTCTCAGGAGCGTTATCCCACCGCCTCTGATATTCTCTGGAGAACAATTCCCTATTTCATAAAAGAAAACAGAAATCCTTTGGTGCTTTGACATTGAGAACAAGGATCAGGGTCAAGCATACTTTTTTCTAAATATTAGTATAATTTTTATCATCCACAAATATTTTTACAACATGGAGACAACAGTAGCCAAGGAGTTGGAAACCTGGCATATAGGATCATTTCTGACACATCGCAACTTTTGGCTTCAGGTGAGTCACCCCCACCACCACCACCATTGTGGCCCCTTTATAAAACTAGAGGATTGAAAAAGGTGACCTCCAGGATCTTTTCCAGCTTCACGAATCTAGATTTCATCTAAGGACAAGTGTTTTAAATCCTAGTGTTGTGCAATAAGATGTCCTTACTGGTATAGACATTTCTGGATGTCAGTGAGAACTTGATCCAAATTCACTTGAAATATTTTGGAAAGGTCAGAAGATTTTAAAAAGGCTAGGCTCTGCCAATCATTTTCTATTCCCTTTTTGAAAGCTCATATTGGGCATTAGCTCTGAGAACTCCTCTATTATTTTCCATGTTTATTTTATTTTTTTTCCTCAAAATGACTCCCATTCTGAACACCCTCAATTCTTCAGCTTCTCACAAACAGTTTGAATTTTATTTATTCATATTCATGTTTTCAAGTGGCATATTTATTCCATTTTGTAGTGTTTCATTTACCTCATGAATATGTTTTCCCCATTTTTAACTACTATTTCCTGACACAACATTCTAGATCTTTTGGAGAGCTTAGTTTATTATTTTCTTTTTATAAACATACACACAAAAAGAATGGACTTGACTTACCATACTTATTTCACAGGATATAAAAACTGTGTCTTCTGAAACTACAAAAGTGTTGAAAACATTCTGTCTGTTGGTCTGGTGAATAAAATAGTTGGACAATCCAGACTTATTGAGATTGTGCTGAGTCTATCTGCAGAGTTATGATTTGGAAACACCAAAATATACCCTCCAGATCAGCCTCAGGATCTCACCACTAACAGCTTTGTTTAATCATCGGAAATACTGGTTGACCTTAAATTTAAGGAAAAGTTCTTACGAAGCACCTGAGAGGTACAACTCATTAACCACATAACCACAAAGTAGCAAATGTTTTAGTTCACTAAATCTCTCTCCACCCTTCAGAAACAGGGTTCAAAAGAACCCATATGGATTTCTAATGCAATAAGAACTCAGATTCCCCAGAGAGCATTAGTACTGGAAGGGACCAGCATAGAATTAACAGATGCAGCACTGCATAGGTGAACACGCCGAGGTTGAGGATCTGACATGTGCACTTCTGGAAAGACCTGGCTAATTCTACAGAGCAGAGTAGATAGACAAAGAGGTCAGCATTCCACTCTTCGGAGCTGGCTTCTCTAAGAACCTGTGCTCTTATTTCACAATGTTTTCACGGCTTTTACCTACTTCTGGTCATTCCTTTGAAATCATTGCCTACGTCAGAGTTTTAGAAAGATTTTTAATAGTACTCACTCATTGTGTTCAATTCTATTTAATTGCTGAAATGCAATCACTACTCACTTGAGAACAATTTTTGTGATCAAATCTTGGAATTAGCCTGAGTAATTCATTTATTGGACTTCTGAACTTCTGCGATAATAGATATAGAAGAAGTACTCTTTGCACTTTTGGAGTAGAGCAATACTAATTCAGAAGCTCCTTGTGCTAAAAGATCAGTTATATCACTTTAAAGTCAGAATTTATATGCTTATTTTTATTTAAAATGAGATGAAAACCATTTGATTTGTTGTTATTATTTATGAAGTTTTACTTTTCTTCAAAAGAGTTTAATAACTAAATATATTTTTGCAAATGTTATAAAAAGAGAATATAAGGATTTTGTGGGGGAGGATTACAGATAATGATAAGAGTGAAGGGGAGCCTTCATATTCTTATCTGTCCATCACTCTCAGAAAATAAATTCTGACTTTGCACTACTCCTTTGATTCACTCCCTCTTTAAAATTACACATCTGTGACCAATTTTTAGACTAAATCTATAATCTTCAGGTTGCTTTTTTAAGTGAGAATAAGGTTTTATTTTACTTAATAATAGGTTAATATTTAAATATTATAATTTTTAAAATTTTTAATTACTCTCTCAGGCTCTAGAATCAAGGGGAAAATTACAAGAAAGTAATTAAAATTATTTCATTAGGTAGAAAACCCAAAACATGAAAGCGTTTGATGGCCCCACTCCAGAGGAGCTAAAACAGAAACCTTAAAGTGACAGAGGTTATCATGAGAAGGGGATCAGTAACCAGTGCAAAGATCAGTTAGAGATGAATCAACATGGGTCATAACACATGTACACGAAAGCAATGCTAGGAATATTTCTGTATAGCTATCCTCACCTCAACTAGCAAAATGCTTTGTCTTCCTTATTAGGCTTGTCTCTTTTCTTCAACAAAATTAGTGATAAAGGCAGAACAGGACCTGCCTGGAACTGGGGGGAGGGAGGAGAGAGGGGAGGGGGCAGGGGGGAGAAATGACCCAAACAATGTATGCACATGTGAATAAATGAATAATTAATTTTTAAAAAGAAACAAAAATAAATAAAATAAAATGACTTCATTACTTGCAGTGGAAAACGCCCAGGAGGCAGCACAATTTTTTTGGTCCAATGGACCATGAGTCCATCCAGGCCACTTATAAGAAGCAATGAAAACCTCTGGCAGATCAGTTTGGGCAGGTAAAGAAGCCTAGAGGGAAGAGAGGCAGATGTGTTAGATTCTCTCAAATGTATCCCAATAGCCACCATAAGAAGATGGGATGCCCTTTTGTAATATTTATACTTACTTTCTAATTATTTTATATATTTGAGTACCTAAAGAAAGTATAGCTATATAAGATTTCTTTTTCATTCTGTTTAAAAGTGGCAATTCAGTGTGGAGAATCAGAACACAACACAAAATCATAAAAACAATACATAGATTGCTTTTCTGGGTTGTCACACAGCACAGTAACTTCAGCCAATGCTCGGTCACCTTGGATCAGAGTTTGCTCAACCACGTGAAAGATAGCATGAGGCTATTTAAATTTGCCCTCATAAAGAATGTTTACTTTTCTATCCCCCTATTTTTGAGAGTGTATGTGATTATGGGGTGAAATTAATTTTGAAATGATGCCTTTATGGTAACTACATATTGACACACTCGCACCCCAAGGACCACATCACTTTATACCAGTTATGGGGAAATGAAACTGAAATGAAGAACTGGTTGAGACTTGTGAAATCTTTGACGATTAAAAAGGACTACAATACAATGATGTCTCAAAAGTCTGTATTAGTGTTCTGACAGAGTCAATTTTGGCAACTGTCTTTCCAAGAAGGCAAATTAAATGTCATGGAACTCTGTGCATCAAAGAGAATCTATAATCCTCTTTCTTGTAACTTTACTAGAGTGATGACTTTCTCTTTGAAAATAATCAAGACTCAAACAAAATAAGGATTTTTTATTCATTTTTCTTCACTTATGTATACCTGCTTCTCTCTCTCTCTCTCTCTCTCTCTCTCAGACACACACACACACACACACACACACACACACACTTATTTTTGAGAGAGTGCTTTACATTTTCTTTTTTATTTATTTATTTGGTGGTGGTACTGGGGTTTGAACTCAGGGCTTTGCACTTGCTAGGCAGGTGCTCTACCACTTGAGCTATATCCCAGCCCTTTTTGTTTAGTTATTTTTTAAAAGAGTCTCATGTTTATGTCTGGACCATGATCCTCTTACATATGCTTTCCCCTAGCTGGGATGATAGGCTCACTCCACCAGGACCAGCTTTATTGGATGAGATGGGGTCTAGTGAACTTTTCACCCAACCTGGCCTCCAACAGTGATCCACCCAATCTCTGCCTTCCATGTAACGTCATTATTTTCTTTTATCTTCTCAATACCTCAATGTAATAAAATCAGAAGAAATAGTATTAGCTCTTTTTCAGAAATGACTTCCAAAAGCTACAAGATGTGCTAAGAATTCTCAGCTGAGTAAGATTTACTCCTGATACTAGACCCATGTTTTAAAATTCGTACCACTCTTCTCCATTTCAATCATTTCCCTATTTTATCAGAAACACATGGATGCAGCACTCTGTAAAAAGTAAACTTTTACCTAATTAAAATTTTTATGATCATTGAAAAAGTGAAATTATCCATCTGATATTTTGCAAAAAATTACTTCTGACAAGTACATAATAGCTTCAAAGTCTAAAGCAAGGAAAATTTAGAATTTACACGTCTGCTTGAAAAGATATCCATCCAAAATAATTTATAAATTGTTAACATTAATGGAAGCACTTGGTTTTGATTTAAAGAGCTATTACCACTGGATAAGAATGTTTTAATCACTGCAACTCAGATGATGTAAGAAAATGCCAGGAACTGCAAGCAGACCTCTGCACTGTGCCTCATGGTAACCTCACAAAAAGTCAAGTGATTTTGGATTTGAATGCCATCAGATGGACCACATGGCAGAAACTCAGAGTTGGAGCACAATAAACACATTGCTCTAAGAAGGATAGTTTCAGATATCTAGACTCAGGCTCCAAAGCGTCTTCCTACATGAGACAGGGATACACACCTTTTACATTACTCACACCTCCCAATTTTATTGTTATTGGTTTATCATGTGCATTTAAGCACTTATCATACTAGATTGCCTGAAGTTTCTAGAAAAATAGATAGAAAGTCAGTTGTTAGAGTGTCACTTTAAAATACCAATTTAATAACATAGCAAAGATGCATCCCTTCTGCTCGGTTGAAGCAATAAAGATTTAACTATTACTTCAAATGCATTTCAGCAGGATTGAGTTATTTAGAACAGGGCTTCCACATTTGAAAGGTTATCAGACTGTTTTGCTCATGAGAGATATTTCATCTGATAATAATGATAGGCTATGCATTAGGTAAATTTCATCTGTTAAAAATAGTTTCTCCATAGGCACCTTAAGTTGAACCATTAAACCAGCATGCTTTGCTGCATATGATTTGTTCCTTAAAAAATATAAATGGACAATCCTTCTCAACAAGATCAGGCACAAGTGAAACAACAATCAAAATGACATTTTTATTGAAAATGTATTTACCAATCCTCTAAGCCAGTTAAATTCATAAAATTCATCTATTGGATTTTTAAAGATTGTTTTACTACTTACTTAACAATGCTTTTCCTAAAAATAAGCTCCTAGGACTTGAAGTGTATCAGACATATATAACCTTGCAATTGTATTTGCTTCACCATATCAGATAATCTGATCTAATGAACACAGAAAACTTTATATCCCACTATTCCGTAATTATTGTGCCCCTGTAAAGTAAGAGTATCTTAGAGCTTATAAGTAAAGGTGAGCATTACAGCTTTTAGGTAATAGAAGTCTGCCTTCAGTAAATGATACTTTATAAAAACTTAATTTTTTCCATAAAGTAAAAAAATAATCAAGAGAACGAGCTAAGGGTCATAGGAATTTCAAAATTAATATCTAAATAAGACAAAGTTATTATAGCAAGATTTATACTCTTCCACTTTGGCATTTTAAATTCTTTATGCTGTCAGGTTGAAAAGGTTTCAGTCATAATTTAATTTAACAATTAATTTAATTATATTTCCAAATCAAATTAGCTGAATAGTTTCCCTATTTTAATATTTTCATTTAGAAATTAAGGAAATTATGCACAAATAGGAGTATTAAATTCAATGACTGGAGAATTTTTCACAATAACCCCTGCATATAACTGAATTAAAATCTCTGAAGAAGTAATGGGAATGTAATCACAGAGTGTCTTGGGAGAAACTAGCAGACTTTGTACAACTACTCACTTCCCACTGTGGACTTACCCCCTTCATCTTCAACTGCACATTCTCCCTCACTTCCTCGTGGATAGGTAGAGTGACCAGAGAAGCAAATAACGCAACAAAGAACATAAATCTGCTCTGACCTTTCACAGGCTGAGAGCAGCAGCCATGAACACCAAGAGATTTCTCCTCAACTATTTGACATTGGAAAGGAAAGAGCTGATTTTCTGGTTGTTGGTGTCTAAATGAATCTTTGTGTCTTCAATAATATTTATCTTTGTGCTATCACATTTAAAATGTTACCCTTTGATATTTCCCTAGTTTCTTCTAATAGAGTGATTTGTAATGATCTGTAAATATCAGTACTGTGTGAGGACGCTGTGGCAGGTGAGAGTTTTCCATTCTTGCTTTCTTCAAAGGAGTAGAAGCTTTGTCTCTACACATGCAGGATCAGAAAAATGACTACATCTATTGATTAGACTTCCTGTGGGCAGGAATTTGAGTGTTATAGATGGGCAGAAAGCACTCTTCTTGAAACATTACGACCTTGACAACAGAGGCCCTGGGAAATGGAGCAATGAGAGGAAAGGATGGACATCAACCTCCAGATTTGTTGGTGAAAGATCAATTTACGTTTTATCTATGTCACTGCCATTTTTGTGTTTTGCCTCAGAACAAGTGTTCTGAGGAATTTTGATAGGTAATTTTAAAAGGAATTCATTAATCAAACACTTCTAAGAAATTTTGGTTTTGAAATTTAAACAGATTTTTGTCTTCACTGAAATATTTTTAAAAAACTGCCAGAGTATGTGAGGCTCTAAAAAGGAGAAATAATTCTTTTGGCTTTAGAAATTCTCTACTTGGCCCCATATGAAATGCTTTATTTTATTTCATTTCATATTATCTTCATTGTGAATCAAATAAAGAACTTTCTGTTTTGTGCATGATATTTTGGGAAAAAACAGCATTTATGGTAAAGACAGACCTAGACATGGGGAAGCCAGAGAGTAGGTACCTGGTGTATCAGCTCACTGAACAACCTCAGCAATCTACTTTTCCACAGCCACAAATATTTGTTCATATGGAGGAAAAAGTAAACTTTCACATTTCTTTTTGAAGATTTGTCCTGTGGTGATCAATTCATTCCCACTGTGTTGGTCAAGCCACATTCAATTATATCACAGTGTTCTGCATCAAACTGTGACTAGTATAGAAAGACAAAATTGAAAACAGGAGAATGGATTTGAAAGACAAAACATTCATTCAGCCTCAAGTGCAGGTGAATGAGCACGGAGACCAAGTGTATACTGTAACGCTTACTGGAAGGTTAGGTGTTCCATTCTGAGAAAGAAGGGAAAAAGAAAGAGACACTTGAGAATCTCTTTGAATTTTAAAATCTTTAATTTAATGACATCAGTAATACTAATCTGTCCTGCCCTTTTGCTTTATGGATGAGAAGATTCTGAGGTGAGCTGAGGGAAACACATAAACATGGGCTTGCCATGACTCCTGGCTGTACCCTCCTCTGTAGCACCATCAGCTCTTACACTTTCTGCCTTAGTGGAGGAAATGATCATTTCTGTTCAATATTGTGTACAGTACGTAACAGTATGCCTGGGTTTTTCACTCTTATTGTCAGTATTTTGGTTCCTATTCATGCTTCTGTTTACACAGTTGGCATGTTATTGGAATCAAGTCGAAGATGTTTATTTAGAAAAGAGTTATTCCAATGAAATAAAAAACTTCAATAGCCTATGAGTGTAGAAAGTCTCTAAACTTGGAAGGTGAACCTCACCTTCCAACTGAGGTGAACGTCAGTTTTCCCAAAGGTTTATCTCATGGCCCAGTATTTGCTATCGTTGAAACTGATTTCAGAAAGAAAAATAGGTTCCTCCTATTTTAA